CATTACTATTTATGTTACAACCACCAGATGTTTCATTTTTCAATCTATGTCGTGGTACGCGCCCCATTGCATTACAATTACGTTGGCCCCCAGTGGTACAGCGGTATGCCTGCGAACTTACAACGCTAGAATCCGGGCTTCGACACCCATGGTGGGCAGAGCACAGATAGCCCATTGTGTTGTTTTGTGCTTAATTTCAAACAACAATTGCGTTCCCCACTTTGGGGCCTTGGGTACGTTATAACTGAGATGGCGATGGATGCTGGTGACTACAGCTGTCTTCTCTCAGTCAATTAGTTCAAAATTAAGGACGGCTAGTGCAGAAAGCAAAAGGTTAGTATTACTTCAACATTTACAAATTTTCGTATTGAAGTTGAAGGCACAAAATCTGGCTAATTATTTGAAAATCCGCTCAATATTTAAAGATTTTCCCTTAATAATGTAAGTCCAGCGTTTCCAGTTTCAATTGCATAATTAACTCTGTCACAAAATATGTCTAAAATAGCGTTTTATATATTTTTTTTCGGAAACTGGATCGGGCCATTGTAATTTAAATCTGAAATATTGGTCTTACCTTACTAGTGAAGAGATTTCGTTTTTCTTTCTTTTTCGTAATTACATTTCGTAAATTTTCCTTCTCAAGAAAACGAAAGACAAAAATAAGACTTTAAAGGAGTAAAGAAAGGCCACGCCTTTTAGATTTTAAATAAATTGTGTTTTATTTTATATCAAAATGGCTGATATCTTAAAGGCTTTTGATTTATCGGCACAGTTCTGCAATCACAGTAGGATTTAATTTTCTATTAGATGTCTTGCTAAAACGAACTTTTATATCCATATCCATCAAATCTACATTGAATGGGCGTTGTTATAATTGTAGCATGGCCGGGCGTGGCCCAGTGGTTAACATGCCAGACTATGAATATAAGGTTCTATGGTTGCCACAAAACTGTGCTCCATATTATGTAGCCATGGGTGCGTTATAAGTGTGACGGTTAAACTCACTATTTGATAAGAGCATCCCAAGAGTCTATGGTTGACCAGCTGCCTTTACTCCATTCTATCAGTACAAACTTAGGAGGTTTATGTGCACATAACCTTCATGAAACAAACAAACAAAACAATAGTTTTAAACCAGTCGATATTACAAAACTATTAAATTTAATAAGTTTAAATGTTTGTCGAAACTTATCACTCACTTATATCACTTTCATATGCTGCTTAACTGGATCACATTTTCTGTTTATTTCATGAAGAACAAAGTTGATTTCTTTAATTATTTGTCTTTGTGGCTCTGTCACTTATCAAAACAACGGAATGGGTAAAATAGAAAAACTTGGTATACACGAATAAATATTTATATATTACGTGTATTTTTGGTTACACGTTTATCTTTAAACGTTAGACTTTAATTAACGTTTTTGTAAATATACGTTTTTAATATGTATCAAGTGTTTTGTATCTAACACGCCCATGTGGCTGGAAGTACCGAAATTAAGGTAGTATATATCACAGGCCTACCAGAGTTTTGTTTATAATATTTTCAAGTGATTTTAGAAATAGTTCTTTAGTTTATGATAAACAGTAATGGTTAAAATGCTCCGTTTCGCATTCATCTTATTCTATTGGCACGTTTCTCGTTATTTTCAATTTTTGCAAGGACTTTTATTTTGATATACAAATTTTACTGTTTGAAGCTGGACTTAATAAATCATCAATAACTTCTGATCGATTTGTTTGTTTTTTTTGTAATTAAGCACAAAGCTAAACAAAGGGCTATCCGTGTTCTGCCCACCACGGGTATCGAAACCCGGTTTCTAGTATTGCAAGTCCGCAGACATACCACTGGGAGCACTTCTAATAGAAGCAGGCTGCCAACATAAAGCAAAAAAAGAAACTTCTATTCCTAGAATGAATACAGATTTTACACTTTCATAACACGGGGTTTTTAACTTTCTGATGTTGGTGTAACCATACACACATATACATATGTGAATATAGATTTTACACTTTCATAACACGGGTTTTTAACTTTCTGATGTTGGTGTAACCATACACACATATACATATGTAAATACAGATTTTACACTTTCATAACACGGGTTGTTAACTTTCTGATGTTGGTGTAACCATACACACACACACACATATATATATTACTTGTTGTTGGCGGACATATCGTTCATTCAAATAAAATGTTGCTACTTTTCTGATGCTAAGGAATGCAATACCGAAATATTTCTTCGTCGTACACAATCATAGCTATGTAGGTTAGATTAACTTCCAATAAGAAAACCTTTTGCGATATTAAATGAATCTGGGTTGCAATACGTAGGGGAAAAGTACGATATTTTTTGTAACTGAAACATGAAAAATGTTGTGAGGAAAATAGAGCCCTCAGCGCAGAAAAAACTCCGATTATATTGATAAAGTTTTACCAAATTATGGTGTAGTTAATCACTTTTCTTTACGTTTAATCACAACAAAGCGTTAGATATTTGAAGCTAAACACCTTCAAAAGTTAAGTTTTTCTTCAGTAATTTTCTCGAGGGATTTTCTTAAACGAAAAAATATATACATGAAAATCGTATGTTAATTTTGATTACTTATTATAATTCTTATTTAAAGCACATTCGTAAAGTAGTGTAGTTATAAGTGACTTTATTATTTAACCTTTGGCAATTTGCTTGACCGTAGATCAGAGTTGCCAACCGTCTGTATATTTACGGACCATCAGTATAAAAAAAAAGTCACATTTTAACATTGTCCGTAAACTCATAAGTACCGTCAGTATAAAAAAAGTCACATTTTAACATTGTCCGTAAACTCATAAGTACCGTCAGTATAAAAAAGTCACATTTTAACAATGTCCGTAAACTCATAAGTACCGTCAGTATAAAAAAGTCACATTTTAACAATGTCCGTAAACTCATAAGTACCGTCAGTATAAAAAAGTCACATTTTAACAATGTCCGTAAACTCATAAGTACCGTCAGTATAAAAAAAAGTCACATTTTAACATTTTACTTAAACTCGTAGGTAGTAAAAAATGTTTTATTTTAATGACATCAGTAAAAAAAAAGGTTACTGTTTGTCTGTCTGTCAGTAAAATCAAAATTGTAAGGTTAGAAACCCTGTCCTAGATACACATAGTTCAAGTTTAAACAATTTAAATGTATAATCTTTGTCTTACTTTTGTATACCTAACCTTCTTCTAAACGTCGATAAATCTAGCTTGCCTGTATTTCAGGAAAACTAATTGTACAAAGGAACCAAATAATATCTTAATGAACTGGGTTATGCAACTGCTCGAATTCTAAATGCCTATTTTGAAAAAAAAAGTCGATAAACAAAATCTCTTTTCTAAATATTAAAACAAAGATAAGCTGATTTACACATTTATTCCTCTAACTGACGAATTAAAACTCACGCAATGGCGTCAATCATGTCTAGTCCCATCTCTACACAACAGTGGGCATGGTCGGGCCGAGGCTCTGGTATTCCACTAACACAGTAATAACAGTCTCCCAGAATCTTGATCCGTAGACAATGGTTCTCTGATGCAAGTTTATCAAATCTGGCAAACAATTCGTTCAGAATCTTCACCACTTCCTCAGCAGTGCATTGGGACGCTAGCAAAGTGAATCCACATATGTCTGCAAACAGAATGCTGGGAGCGAAAACAAAAAATAATATTGATATTGAGTAGAATGAAACACGGATCCTGAAATTTAGCTCCAAAATGTATTAATATACTTGCTGAGAAGTATATGTTTTTTTGTCCAGTAAATCGTCCAGTTTGATCAAATAATCATAACATGTATCTAGAATCCATTTATAGATTGAACTTTTATCATTTCTATCCAATCATCTTTAATCCATCTCAATATCCGTTGATATGTTTTCTTATTTATATGAAGATACCTTTCTGATACTATATAGAGCTTTGATAATTCTGTTTCAGAGTCTTTACAATGGTTATGTTCACAAATATAAACGAAATTAAATTACAAAATAATAAAAAATTTCAACCCCTCCCAGAATCGTTTCTAAAAGGTTATCAATCAACCAGCTTCTTGTGATGTAAAGCTTTTTTTTTTTTTTTTACCTGACGTTCTCATGTCTTTGAATGTAGATTTTATGAAACATCGTATCCTGAGGCTTCTTGGCGATATCAGACTTCATCTCCATGGCAACGTGTCTCGGTAGAACTGACAGCAAGAGACGCTCCTAGATTGAAAACAATAAAATTATCGTCTTTATCAGTCGTCAACATACAAAATGTCATTTATTTAAGAGCAACCATTGTTTTCAACATACATATTATTAAAGAATGGATGAGTAATTTGATTGGCAAAAAACCAGAAGAAGTTAATAAGCTAAAATTTAATAAAACTGTCTGTTTAAATAATGTTTCGATATTCATCTAGAGTTGTCTTCAACAAGGTAGAATATTCAGATAAGATAAGATGATTACTCTAAATTACTCTAACGTAGTAAAAATAAAATTAAGATGTCTTATTCCTATATCTTCGTCACAATCCAAATATATAAAAAATACCTCCTAGAATCATCAGTTACATTCTAAATATCAAAGGTTTCATAATACAGGTAATATCGTTGTACGAAAAACATAATCAATGTGAGTTTCTTAATACAGGTAATATCGTTGTACGAAACACATAATCAATGTGAGTTTCATAATACAGGTAATATCGTTGTACGAAACACATAATCAATGAAACTCACATTGATTATGTGTTTCGTACAACGATATTACCTGTATTATGAAACTCACCCTGTTGTGTGTGTTTTATAATGCACGAAATGAATTTCATTTCATCAAGGAACTAAATAGATTAAAACGAAAAATATGTGTAGGAATTAATATTCAGATGAGCACTATCTCCTTTGGTTGAATGATAGCTTTAAAAAAAAAGTTAAACCCTACATGATGGTTTTACCTTATTGTTTCATCCGAGGTTTTAAATATAATACGTTAGTCTAGTTACTGTAAATATCAACCAGCAGTCATAAATATGTTCCCGTATTTTGAAACTCACATTAATTATGTGTTTCGTACAACGATATTACCTGTATTATGAAACTCACATGATTATGTGTTTCGTACAACGATATTACCTGTATTAAGAAACTCACGTTAATTATGTGTTTCGTACAACGATATTACCTGTATTATGAAACTCACGTTAATTATGTGTTTCGTACAACGATATTACCTGTATTATAATAAAACAAACACATGTACATAAAAACGCTTCTTAATTTGTCCACGAAATGGTTTCTTGTATCATATTCACAGTGATATATCACTTTGCATCATTACGTATAAACGGATTTCTTGACCTTTCTCTCCGGTATTTCAACCCTTCACATTTACTTAGATGCTTTGATACATCATGAAGTATATTGTATCAAGATGTTTTTTTCTGTTAAAAATTAGGTTGAACACTCAAAACTCTGGATTTGGCACTATGTTAAAGATAAGTAAATTATAGCCTTTTTTTATTTTTCTCAGTAGTGGATTCTTTTTTTCGGAAATAACACTGTAAAATGTCAAAATATTAAAACAGCAATACAGTCTGCATGAAATTATTTTACACTTAAACTGTTTAGATACGCAAAATTAAATTTTTTATAATCATCTTATTTGCATATGTAAAAATCCTTTTTTATACACAGTACCTGCCTTACTAAACAAACATCAAACGTCCGCCATTTTATTTTTATAAACCCCTTTGACCTTATTTTTTCTATGAGCTACAAAGAGATACTACCTGTATACTAACTGGTATCTATCACTATCATGCTAGTCCTTTACTTAACTATTGTTACTATTATTAGTTTTTTCATTTATGTAAGGAAGTTGAGAGATATTGTGAAGAAAATGAATAGATTTAAATATTAAAAAAAACTCCCAACAGGTGACTTCCCATCCATACTCCACGAAAGACAGATGTAAGCCTTATATATATAAATATATTGCTCTTCAGGACAAGATGGATGAAAGTTTTATAGTATCATAGATATTATTTATGAATTATAAGGCAGATGTAAGATATTAAGGATGTTATTCTTCATGACAAGATGGATGGAAGTTTTATAGTATCACAGATATTATTATGGATTATAAGGCAGTTGTAAAATATTAAGGATGTTATTCTTCATGACAAGATGGACTGAAGTTTATAGTATCACAGATATTATTATGGATTATAAGGCAGATGTAAGATATTAAGGATGTTATCCTTCATGACAAGATGGACGAAAGTTTTATGGATTATATGGACATTATTCTCAATTTCACGAATTTTAAGTATATTATTTGAGAAATAATCGGATTTTTTTTCGATAAGAAGAAAATACAATTATCATTTTAAAGTTATTGATTTGAATATCTTGAAAATGATATTTCCAACTTAAGTCCACGTCGAATGTTAAATCTAAAACGTTAACTATCTAGAAGAAAATTAAATTCGTGTTGTATAAATCAAGTTTGATATTCGTAACGTGTTAATGATTAGCTTAAGTAATCTTCTGAAGATAATTGTTTGGATCTTTATTGGATTTAGTTTTATAAGCTAATATAAACACCAGATGGTGATGTCGTTTAAAATCTGTTGGATGCGATTCGCAGTAGTGACGGGACTAGGAAAAGTACTTTATACAGCAGATTCATCAGTATAGTATGAGTTGATTGGTTAGGAATTTCGAGCGAAGCTACACAAGTGCTATCTACGCTAACCGTCCCTAATTTAGCAGTGAGAGACTGGAGGAAAGGCAGCCAACTTTTGTGTTACTCTTTTAACAACAAATAATGAGATTGACCGTCACATTATAACGCCCCCACGACTAAAACTAAAAGGACGAGCATATTCGGTATGACGGGGATTCAAACCTGCGACTCGCAGATTGAAACTCGAGTGCCCTACCCACCAGGCTATAATAAATAGTATGACACGTGAGTGTACTTTAAATTAGAGAATATAATACTATGCACGTAAATATTGTTTTTTTGTTTTGAATTTCGCACAAAGCTACACAAGGGCTATCTGCGCTAGCCATCTCTAATTTATCAGTGTAAGGCTAGAGGGAAGGCAGCTAGTCCTCGCCTCCCACTGCCAGCTCCTGGGCTTCTCCTTTTACCA